AGCCTGAACTTCCTCCTTCATCACCATTGCCTCTTGCTCATACATTGTTTCTTTAAATTCTTCTGGGCCAGCCAATTCCTTTTGGTACAATGACTCTGTATACTCTTTCCATCTTCTTTTAATGCTTCCTGAATCATTCAATATTCCGCCCATAGCATCCTTAAGCATTGCAACTTGTGGCTTGAATTTGTTGGCTAGTTCCTTCAGTTTAAGAAATACTGAGTGAAGAGTGAGTATAGCATCAAGATTGGAGGAAGACTCATCAACAACCCATGATATGCAGATGACACAACCTTGCTTGCTTAAACTGAAGAAGATTTAAAGCACTGGCTGCAGAAGGTCGAGGACTTAAAAAAAAAAAAGTCGAGGACTTGCATATGAATTGAAACTCAACATCAAGACAAAGATTAGGTATTATTTTCATGACAAAATTACAGGAAAAGAAATGCATATTAAAGCGGCCAGTGGACTGGGGGGTATTGTATAACAATAAAAGAATTTTTCTTTCTTCAAAGAGAAAAATGAACTAGGGGAAGTGGTGGGCAGGGAGGAAAATCTGCAACAATAAATGAATGGAGGGGAAATGAAATGGAAAAAAATATGCTGTAAAAATATATGTATGTTGCATTTAAAAAATCATTAATAAAAAAAAGACAAAGATTCTCAGCACTGGGCCAACATGATAGATGGAGAAGAGATTGAGGTTGTTAGCAATTATAGCTTGTTTGGCTCCACAATCAAAACATGAATTACACTGGGAAAATCTGCCGTCATGGACCTCTCCAGAGTGCTGAGGAGCAACGATGTCAGTCTAGAGACTAAAGCATGCCTACTCCAGGCCATGGTATTCTCAATTACTTGTTATGCTTCAGAGAGCTGGACAGTGACTAAGGATGACAGAAGAAGAATAGATGCTTCCAAGTTATGGTGCCTGAGTAGAGTCTTGCATATACCATGGACTGCCAAGAAAACAAATAAGTTTGTCTTGGAGAGGGTAAGACCAACTCACTCCTTGGAGGCAGAGGCTAGATTTTGAAGTTCAGTCTCACATATTTTGGGCATGTGGCCAGAAGAGACTGGTCCTTGGAGAAGGACATCCTGCTCAGAAATGTGGATGGACAGCATAGGAGAGGAAAACCCCAGATGAGATGGATTGATACAGTATCTGGGGCAATGAGGGTTGATGTGTCAAAGTAGTGAGACTGGCCCAGGATAGGGAAAGGTTCAGAGTTGCTGTACATAGGATTGCTATACGTCACCGCTGACTCAACAGCACATAACAACAACATATTATATTGACTTTTTAAGCCTCTTGTTTAGAATTAACAAGACCTTGTGGAGGGCCTTTGTATTTAAAAGTCAGTTGTTACTATATTTTTGAGGAATGTTCTTCTAAGTAGTACAGCACTCTTCTGTCAATTTGTTGTACTGAGGTAACCTGAAGTTACTTTGATGCTGAACCTTCTGCCATTGGGGTGTCAAATGCCATAATGGTTACCCATGGTGGACAGTGTTTGATGGAGCTCCCAGTGTAAGACAGATTTAGAAGCAGGATTGGCATCCACTTCCTAAACATGTCTCTATGAACTTTGATAAATGATGACAATTATAGAAAGGCTTCAGGCCTTTTGTTCATAGGGTCACTATGAGTCATGCTTGACGTGATGACAGTCAACAACAGGGCCTCCAAGAGAAAATTGATAACCCAGTTACAAAATGGGCAAGAGACATGGAAAGACTTTGTGCACAGAGGAGGACATTCAGATGGCAAACAGACATATGAAGAAATGCTCAAAATCCCTGGCAATGAGAGAGATGCAAATCAAAACCACAATGAGATACCATCTTGCTTCAGTAGCAGTGGCAAAGTTTATCAGGGCAACAAGTAATAAATGTTGGACAGGATAGGGTGAGATAGGAACTCTTATACATTGTTGGTGGGATTGTGAAATGGTACAACCACTCTGAAAGGCAGTTTGGTGTTTCCTCAAAAAGCTGAATATAGAAATTCCATATGACCCAGCAGTTCCACTGCTTGGAATATACCCTGAGAAAATGAGAACTGAGACACAGAGACTTGTACACCAGTGTTCATAGCAGCATTATTCACCATTGCAGGAACATGGAAACACCTCACAAGTTCATTCACAATGGAATAATGGATTGAGAAATTATGGTACAGTCACATGATGAAATTCTATGCAGCATGCAGGAGCAATGATTTTGTAAATTACTACCTAACATGAAAGGGACTGGAGAACATTATGCTAAATGAACTAAGTCAGTCTCATAAAGACTAATACTGTATGAAACCATTATTGTAGAACAAGTATGAGGATCCATGGGTTGGAAGGGGGAGCGGAAGGGTGAGGATAGGCAGGGGAGTGAGAGCTTAATCATAGGGTTGCACAATTTCATGGGTAGAGGGAGGTGTAGGTAAAGGAATGGGGAAAGATCCAATGTGAAAATTTATATGAGCTTTGGAAGTAAACCAGTATAAAATAAATTTTTTAAAAAGTTGCAAGGGTAGAGGAAGCTGCTTCTTGTTAAGTGTGTCAAGTTGAATATGATTTATATAATGACTGTAAACAACAGATCTGAACCCTGACCTCTCCTGTGTCATCCTCATATCAATTAGTATGACAGTTATTACTTCTTACATACTTAGTTCTTATATACTGAGTAATGAAATTGCTGAATCAAATGGTACTTTTTTTTTTCAAATGGTACTTCAGTGCCTAACTTTCTAAAGAAGTGCCAAACCACTTTCCATAGTGGTTGAATCATTGTTTCCACAGTGGGAACTTTACACTCCCACATGTAGCATATGAGAATTCTAGTCTCTCCACATCTTTGCCAATACCTGCTGTTTACTACTTTACTGAAATTTGCTATTGCTGCTGTATTGAGATGATATCTCATTGTCAGTTTGGTTTACATCTCTCTTGTGGGAGAAAGATAGGCAGTCTCCTCCTGTGTGATTCATTGCTTCTGAAAATCTACTGGAGAGTCAGCAGTGGGTCAGTTTTCCAATTCAACAGAACACAAAACAATAGTTAATTAACCTGAACATTTCTTATGTTTGTTAGCCATCTAAATGTTTTCTTTGGTGAAGTGTCTTTTCATGTACTCTGCTCATTTTGTATTAGATTGTTTGTCTTTTTCTTGTTGAGAGATTGGAATTTGCTACATATTTTAGATACAAACCCCTGTCATATACATCATTGCCAAATGTTTGCTAAATACCTGTAGGTTCTTTTCTTATTCTTTTGAAGAAATAATTTTTATGCACACAAACATTTCCTTTTTAGAAGGTTCCATTCATCTAGTTTACTCTCCGCTGATTGCACATTTTTGTTCTATTTGATAGGATATTTATGCCATCGCTCATTGTTCCTGAATTTGCCCATAGTTTGCTCTGATGATCTTTCTAATTAGAGGTATTGTTCTAAGGCTCTGGATCTATCTTGAGTTCATTTTTGTATGTTGTGTGTATTGATCTTGTTTCAGTTTTCTGCAAATAGATAGCTAGTTTTGTCATTATGTGCTGTTGAGTTGCTTGCGACTCACAGTGACCCTATGTACAACAGCCCTAAACCTTGCTCTATCCCTTGCCAATCTCATTGTCTATCCAACACACCCAACTCCATTACCCCAGTGATGGAATCAATCCATCTCATTGAGGGTCTTCCTCTCCTGCAATGTCCTTCCACCCTCCCAAGCATGATATCCTTCTCCAAGGACTGGTCGCTCCTTGCAACATGTCCAAAGTATGTCAGACAAAGTTTCAGAATGCTTGCCTCCAAGGAGCAACATGGCTTCACCCTTTCCAGGATGAACTTGTTTGTTCACCTAGCAGTCCATGGTATATTCGATACTCTTCTCCAGCACCAAAGCTCAAAGGCATCAATTCTGTCAGTACCATTTCTTAAAGAGGCTTTCTTTTTTCCCATTTAATGGATTTTAACTCCATGTGAAAGATCAGTTGTTGACAGGTGGGTGGATTTACTTCTGGACTCTCAATCTGATGCTCATAAGGCATATTCTTATAAAACTGTGTTAAGACTTTGTCTTGTGCTTCTATCATATATATTATCTATTTCATATTTGAGTTTGTTCCTGATGATTTTATCTCAATTTTCTCTTGATCTGTTTTTCTGCTTTTTGCATATCTGGTGATTTTTTTTAATTGATGTTAGATTCTGTCAATTTTTCTTTTGAATAGTCCATTTATTCCTTCTCTTCCTTTATCTTTTTTTTCCCTTTTTTGCAAAGAGGGGCATATGAAATTACTTGGAGCTGGTTTGATTCTTCAGAGTTGCTTTCAGATTTTATTACGTTAGTCCCAGTGACTGTTTGATTAGGTCTAATTTGATCCTGCTACTTAGGCAGAACTCTTCTCATGGTCCTGTTGATGGAACTTGATAATACCAAGTGTTGTTATGTACCATCAATTCAGAACTGACTCTTAGCTGACACCCACCCCCAGCAGATTTTCAGAGACAGTAAATCACAAGCGAGGTCATTTCCCGTATTTTTCCTGCAGAGCAGATAGTGAATTTGAACCTCATGCCTCTGGCTTAGCAACACAGTATCTTATCCACTAGGCCACCAGAGTTCCATTCCCCATGTGTTAGGAGGTTTTTGTACCTTGGCTGGTTCCCACGTGTGAACCTGGTAATTATGTTATCACTATTCATGCTTTTCAGATTAGTTTTTCCCTAGACTCACAAATTTCTTGATATGCATGAGCAGATCCTTAACAAGCTAAAGGCTCAGAGTTTTACACCACTCCAGCTCTCTTGCTTTCTGCAGCTTCCTCTAATACTCTTTCCTTTCTCATCCTCTTTTATTTCCCATTGGTAATGTCAACACCCAACGGTAGAGGATTCTAATATTAAGATCTAGGAATAAGAGCTAGAAAGCAGTTGAAGAACCCCTTGAAATTATTTGTATTGTTTTTGGTTGTTGTTGTTGTTTTGTTTTTTTTTCTTTCTCAGTGGAAAGCTCTCCAGGGAGCCTGCATAGTGAAGATATATCCAGTAGTCATGCTGTTACAGTGTTCAAAGACAAGGATCAAGGAGCCATGGACCAGATCTCATTGATTTTGTCTCCAGAACACCAGATTTCTCAGAAGTTCTACGTCCCTCGGAGTACAGCCACTGCTGCTTTAGGAGCTGCTGCCCGGCTCGCCACGTCCCAGAGCTTCCTGCACTGGTACCCCAGTGTGAAAAGGCCGGACAAGTGAGGCCAGGAGGAAGGAAGCACCAGCTGGGGAGGGGTGGTTTGGTGATGTTTCAACCTCACTCACATCAAAAAGAGGAAAACACTGAGGCAAAATACTATTTTAATATTATGCTTTTTTTCTTTTTTGTGTTGACATATTAGCTTTATTAGGCTAAGAGTCTACTTCAGTGTCTGATTATAGATATTTGATGTTTATTTTCATACTTGTTGACAGCATTTCTTATTCTCTTGTTTCATTCACCTTTTTTAAAAATTACAGTAATTGAAAGTTTTTGTTTTACATTCTTAAATGTTTTTCTTGTGTATATCATGATGGATAAAGGAAAATTTAAAAACATATTTTTTGTGATCCAGATTCTTAAGACAAATAGTCTCACATATTTATCTCCAGAAAAACAAAGACCGAATTTCAGTGTTCTAATTTGAAATCTTCTATGTAATATTGTTTCTTTTAAATGCACAGTCAACAAGAAAATCCATATCCTGAAAATGTGTTCATCTAAACACATATTTTTTTTAAAAGTAAGCTGGTTTGGTTTTGTCTTTTCTTAAAAGCAATTTCTTGAAAACTAATGAAAAAAATCATAGATACTGGTTGTAAAATTTTGCCATCTCTGTGACCATCACAGTAGCCAGGACTCATATAAGTAGCCAGCACTTCATATAATGTTTAAGCATTTATAAACCATGATTTTCTCTGAGGACAATTTGTGTGAACTTTCACATGATGTTCTGTTAAGCTCATGGTATAAAACATGGAAAGACTGAGGAATGTCATGAGTTTGTAAGGTCTTTACTGCTTTGGTAAACTATTTGACTTATCCCTACATTTCAGAAAAAGCATGATTTCCTCCCAGCATTAGCCTCCAATACAGCAGCTTCTCTTAGGAGTAACATCTGAGAAAAGGGGCTGTTGCATGCAAAATGCTGAATGTAACTAGGCTCTCACCTCTCCAACTGGTCTTCAAAGGCTTTCTGTTCCCAAACTAACTGGCACAGTTGGTCCCTTGATTCTTCTCCTTCTCTTATAAGGTCCCCTGATTCCTCTCATTCTATTATAAGGAATTTCTCCTCTTTTCCTTCTCATCTATTTCGTAAAATATCCACTAAGAAAGAGTGAGAGATGAGAGTACAGATGAATGGCAGTTTATATTTAAACTTAGAATATTGTTGATTGGACCTTCTCTCTTTGAATCATGCAGTTATAAAGCAGACTTAAACCCAAAGTCTGTTGATAATAGTAATGTTTAAGTCTCAGAGAAAACAAATTTAATGTGAAAAAAATCCAAGATATTTCTAAGAATAATAATAGTTGACCCATGATACCTTCCTCCTAAAGAACCCTGTCTTCCACTTTGCTTAGTGGGATAAAACTTAAGCTAGCATACAGTGTATGAACTCAAGGCAAAATATAGCCAGTTTTTGTTGGTTTGTTGTTTTTGTTTTTTTTTTTTATTTCAAAAGCAATAGCACTTCGAGCTCTGATGACCTAGTGGAAAAAAAACTTTGCTGCAATACCGAAGGCATGTAGTTTGAGGCCACCAGCTGCTCCACGGGTAAAAGATGAGCAGTCTCCTACCGTGCGATTTACTGCCTCTGAAAACCCGCCAGAGGATCAGCCATGGGTTGGTTACCACTCGCCAGCGCACAAGAATAAGAGCAATTTAAAGTAGAAAAGTTAAACAAAATTAGAGAGGTGAGACACTTGGCTTAGTTAAATGATAGCATTCTTTTACATTTGTGACACCTTGTGAAACTAACCGATAGAAACTACTACCTTGAACAGAAGAAGTAGTTCAGGAAAGTTGCCATTATCTCTCTGTTCAAGCACCAGCATTCACTGCCAGCATTCACTGCTGGTTCAGTGGCACCATCCTCCCCTGGCTAGTTGCCCCAGATATAAAGCTGGGACTGGAATCATTCTTGACTGTTCTCTGTGCATCAGCCTACATTCAACGCATTATAAAATCCACCTGCTTTGCTGTGCACCTAATTCCACCACCCTAGTCTAAGCCATCAGCTTGTCTTTGCTTGCTCATAGTAGATTTCACAAATTGTATTGAATCAACGAGCAAATGGGAATGGAAGCCATAAAAAACCTACTGCTGCTGTCTGATTTATAATGACTGTTAACAAGTTCTGGAGGCTGTGAATCTGAGAGGAGACTGCCTTCTTATCAGGGGACCATCATGGCCTACTCCCCTGGAGCTCTTTAAATGGAAGTAGATGGAGCTTTAAATATGGTCGCTTGACATCTTTCTTTGTTCTTGTTATGCTATGTTAGGAATGTCAGTAATACAGAAAACTTCTTGAGAAGAGCCTAACCAAACGAGCAAACATCTCACTTAAACTTTGCATTTATAACCAAAAAAGAACATGGCCTCCAGATGAAGGCATTGGTATTTACTGCTGCTCTGCCAAAGCAGCATCTTAGCCTCCTTGCAGTTTGATTTCTCTCACTGCCTTCTTTTAGTTTCCTTATTGATCTTTATTCACCTCTGATTTCCTGGTTTATTTTCAGAAAATCTCCAGCACGCACATATCTATTTAGAGAATAAAATTCCAAAAGCAGGTTCATTTCAAGGATTGCTTGATTAGCGTGAACTGACATTGCTCATTGTGGGCCTTCTGGTGGTGTCTGGGTTTAGAACTGAATCAAGTTGTGTGGTAAAAAGAGTGAGCGGCCCCTGGGACAGTGCTCAGTACTGTGCAAAATAAGGGGCCCCAGGCAGCAAATTCAAACGAAAAGGAAGCAAAGCATCTGTTCTCCTCACCAGAAAACTTCTCTATTCTTTGGCAGCTTTTCTGTCATGGATGCTTTTTAAGTATATAATTGTTATGCGTCAGAGAGCTGGACAGTGACTAAATGAAGAAGAATCAATGCCTTCAAGTTGTGACACTGGAGAAGAGTCTTGAACATACCATGGACTGCCAAGAAAACAAATTGGTCTGTCTTGAAAGTGAAACCAAGTCTTTCCTTGGAGGCTAGGATTTTGAAGCTCCATCTCACGTATTTTGGGCATGTGGCCAGGAGATACTGGTCTTTGGAGAAGGACATCATGCTCAGAAGGATGAAAGGTCAGCTCAGGAGAAGACGACCTTGGATGAGATGGATCGAGACAGTAATTGGGGCAATGGGGGTCGGTGTGTCGGAGTCAGTGAGACTGGCTCAGGACAGGGAAGGGTTCAGAAATGCTGTACATAAGGGTCACTTTGGGTCACAGGCGAGTCATTGGCACATAACAACAAAGGAGTGAGCATCACTTGTCTTCAACTTTTCATTTCTATTAGATGACAACAATGGAGAGAAATTACATCCAACCAATCATAAAGCAGAGGTTTCCAACGCCCTCTGTACATTTTAATTACTTAGATGACTGAACTATTCCCTTTGAGTTGTGGTTCTGAAGAAGAGTACTGAATATCCCATGGACTGCATGAACAAAGCATGTATGTCTTGGAAAAAGTGTAGCCAGAGTACTCCTTGGAGGCAAAGATGCTGAAGCGTCATCTCTCATACTTTGAATACATAGCGAGGCAAGGCTTGGAAGAAAGGGACATCATGCTTGGAAGGACAGAAGACCTCCAATGAGATGGATTGACACAGTGACTCCAGCAATGGGCTCCAGTATGTCAGAGATGATGAGGATGGCACAGGATAGAGCAGGGTTCAGGTCAACTGGCATAGAATCACCATGAATTGTACTTGCAACTAACAACAGGGAGCTGCTGAGATTTCAACATTAGAGTCATGCCTTTCCCCACCCCAAAGATTCTGACTTACCTGGTTCCAAGTGAATTGAACGGACAGCGAAGACAAGACCTACCTCTGCTGGACGATAATCCAACTACCTACATAAGACTTAAAAAATCAAAATCTTGACCTTTCTTACACTATGTTCAAACTTTAGAGTGATGATCCTTTAGAAGAGAGGCCAGAGGCTTACCCAGGGTGGGTGTGAGGACTGTCAAACCAGCCATGTGTCCCTCCTCCCTGCCCCCGTCCCTCTTTCCCTTGTCTTCACTGCTGGTGCGATAGACCGTCCGGCCAATACCCACACGTTTTCTTCCAAGCATTACTGATGTCGTGAGCCACTGTGACTGACAGGAGACTTTTTTTATCCCTCAGAAACACACAAGGAGGAATAAAAAGTTGACTATTAGGGACCTCTGGTGGCCTTGTGGCCAGAAGCTGTGAGACAATCCTTGAAGGCTTGTCGCTCGAGGCAGCCAGCTGCTCTGTAGGGGAAGGATGGGCAGTCTCCTCTCGCATGATTAACTGCCTCTGAAAACCCACTAGAAGAAGGTCGGCTGTGGGTCGGTTCTGACTCCACAGTACACAGCAACATTATTAGAAAGCTTTCAATTTTAAATAAATGACACAAGGTAATAGCATAGACTATTATAACTGAACTTGATTATTGAATATCTAAATTCTGTTCCCCTTTGTCACCTACTAGTGGCCTTTTCCCATTTAAGGGTTGTTAGATTTCATGTGAACAGTAGCATAAGTCTGAATGGTGCTAGGGTGTTTTTCTTCATTTGGGGGGGTGGAATGAACAGATGATGTCACATCAGTGGGAGCGTTGGAGCCACATTCCCAAGAATGTGCTTTTTCTGTTTGAACATATAAAGACTTCGCTTCAACTGTGAATTGCACAAGAGGAGATTGCTCATCCTTCTCTCATGGAGCTGCCAGTCGATTCTAATCAGCCACTCTACTTAGGTTTGCAGCATACCTGCCTACCGACTGGACCACCAGAGTTCCCTGTGAACTGCTACCATTGGAAATTTGATACAAAACCCTAATGAAATTGAACTTCTTATACTGGACGATTAAGTGCTCAACTGCTAGAAAAGAGATTAGTGGTTGAATCCACAGAAAGTGGCAGCTTGGAAGATGTACCTGGGTATCTGCTTAGGAGAAGGAATGACCTTGGAACCCTTATTGAGCAGTCGCGTTCTACCTAATCGCAAAGAACTCTTTGAAATTGTCACCTG